ATAGGACATAAAAGAGGAGCTTGTCTCTGCAAGAGGCTCAGGAATACTTCACAGCCTGGAAACCGTAGTAAAAACATTCAGCTGGCCTTGCAGATGTGTAGTAATGCAGCGAATGTTTGGGTGACACAGTTGTCAGATTTGTGGGTGTTTTTGTTTCTTTACTAATTTTTTGGTCAGCCACCATGATATTATGATGGTGACTCTTGGGTCTTGGAGTCAAAGTCTGCTTTGTACTATTCTCGTTACTGTGTTCCCCAGTCACAGATCTAGTCCAGAAGGTACTTCTCCAGGGATTAACTCAGGCCAGGTTTCTCGTCCCAAAGACTCCAGGGATCCCTTAAGAGCATGAAATAGTGTAAATTCCAAGGTGTTGCCATGTGTTCCACTTGACTAAGCAGCTAAAACTCTCTCCCCGCCCCTCCGGAGTGGCTCTGTCCAAGATCAGGTTTACCACCATGAAGATGATTTGGAACGAGAGAAGGGAGAAGAACTTCAGAAGCGAAGGAGGTGAGATTGAGAGACCACGGTGCTGTTGAGTTTGCAGTCAGCGTCTGAAAGGAAGTGCTCTCCCACAGTGGCGGATTAGCCACTGGGCCAATGGGGCCTGTGCCCAGGGGTTCCAGACAATCTGGGGAGGCCCCCGGAAAAATGGGCCCTCCGAACCCTGACCTGCTCCGCCTGCCCACCTGGCGCTCCTGCCAGGGTGTGGCATTGGAGCACGGGGGCTTGCCCCACTCTGCCCACCCACCTGGCGCTCCTTCTGGGGAGTGGGACAAGCCGATATGCACTGCCCCGCTCCCCGGCAGGAACGCTGGGTGGGGTGGGGGGAAGGGGGGACAGAGCAAGGCAAGCCTCCGTACCCTGGCCCCATTTCCCCACTTGCTCTGGCCCAGGGCCCCACAAACCCCTAATCCGCCTCTGCTCTTCCATGTGTGACTTCAAAGGCAACACCTCCGCAGTGCAGGCAAGCTGACGATAGCTGCCCAGTGACTGGAACTCCAGACTCTTGTCTTGGCACTTCTTGCCCTCAGCGCTCTGCCCAAGAGAGACCACAGGGGGCACTGCTGCTTGCTACTGAGTTGTCTTAGCAGGGCTAGGTGGGGTCCAGGACTCGAATCAAGTAGCACCCAAGTTGCTAGAGAGTGAAATCCCTTGTCTGATATCATTCTGTGGCCTAGGGGCCATTCATATTACAACCCCACCTTCCCTGCAGGAAGGGAGAATTATTTAAGCAGGAACTCAGTGTTATTCAATGGAATTCACCCTGTGGGAATGTGTTATACCTCCTGATCCAAATAAGCCAATCATGCCTCTTTTAATGATCTACTGTGACTTTACCGGCTGAAGGATGGCCCACTGGTCAGGGAATTAGCCTAGGGCTTGGGACACCTGGCTTCAAGTTCCTGTTCTACCACAGACTTCCTACATGAGCTTGAGCATCACTTAGGCCCAGATCCTTGAAGGGACCTAGGCACTGAGCCCAGTGGAGTGCTCAGCCCCCAGGCTATATTACGCATGGGCAGAGCCAGGTGCTTAAGGAAGGGGTTTTCAGAAGCTGGTCAGCTAAGCAGGGAGGCGCCTAGCCCATCCTGGAATGAAATGCCAGGGAAGGAAGAGGAGAGGCTCGTAGGCACCTAAGCAGCTGACGTGGTGCAAATGGGCGTTGGGTGGATCCCCCCTTCGGGGAGGCTAGGCCCCAGCTCCACTCCTTCTGCCCACGCCTCCCCACTGGGGCGGAGCCCTGAGGCTCCCCCAGTCCCTCCACAGCTGGAGTCCCGAGACCTCCTGCCCCCCATGCGACCAGAGCAATGAGCTCCACCCCTTCCTGGAGAAACTCTGAGCCCCTCCCCACTTGCCTGGAGGAGTGCCATGTGTCCCCTCCCCACCCCAGCCCCCAAACCACCTGGGAAAAGCCACAGCAGTGTCTCTTCCTGAAGAAGAACCTGAGTTTTGATGATGCCCCATGCAGGTTCCAGGGTGGTGAGAAGGTAGTATCGGCTACTCAGCTTCCTGGGTTCATCGGTAATCTCTCTGGAATCCAGGGAGATTACTGATGAACCCAGGAAGCCGAACAGCACATACTGCCTCCTCAGACACCCCGGAACCTGCATGGGCATAATAAAGCAAAAACTTCCCCCACCAAACCTGCAACCGGGCGTCCGGCAGAGCCTCCCCTGGCCTAGTATACCTGCCTCCCATGGCTGGTGCACCTGGCTGAGGGGCCAGAGATAGGCGCCTCCTTCAGCTCAGGATCCTCAGCCGCAGGCTCTCTGTTAGAGTCACGCCCCTGAGCCAGGTCAGCTGCTTAGGTAGCTCATGCCCTAGGCACCAAGTGTCTTTCTCTTCTCCTGCTCATGCTCAATACTTCACTGACCCACACCCCTACATTTCCCTGTGCCCCCAGCTGTCTTTTGTGGAAGTACTGTGCTCATATTGGTGGCCTGAATTTGGCTTGCTTGCGTTAGGGGGCAGGCAAATAACAGATCTTGGCTGTGCTCAGAGCATGCCTACAGGATCGGGCCCCACTGGTGAGACAGATGTTTCCCCACCTCATTTGAGAATCCCACTTCAGGGCCTTTAGGGCATCAGCATGAGAGAGGGCTCTGAGTAGCTTGTTAGCTGTGGGATGGTGTCAGGGCGTAGGTGGAAATGTAGGTGCCCCGTGGCAGTGTTGAAAATGTCAGTGGTACCCAAAAGGTGGACTTAGGCACCTCAAGGCCTTTAAGGATCTGGGCCCACCTCCTCAAAGGTAGCCACTGGTTTCGGGTGTCTTTATTCTTAGGTGCTTGACTTGACCCTTTGGGCCACATTTTCAAATTTGCTGAGCACCTAGATTCATAGATTCATCGATATTAAGGTCAGAAGGGACCATTATGATCATCCAGTCATCCAGCTGCAGCAACCATCAACTCCAGCTGGAGTTCTAGGTGCTCAGCAACTCAGTAAATCAGGCTCTAGGGGGCTCAAGCTGTGCATCTCCAAACGGCAAGTGTTGGCTTAAACTCACTGACTTTGATGAGTTTTGAATCAGAACTTTATTTTGTGAGCTGTTCCAGTGATCACAGCTGAGCTGCTCTTGGAGTTAAGTACTGCTGAGTGTGAGTGGGGTGGGGTGCAGGATTTGGCTTTTGATGGCTGCTTACCCTTCATTGGTGGGCTGTTCCTTTAGTGCCAATTTATCAGTGGTCATATTTGCGGATGATGAAAGAAGAAGACAAAACCAATCTAGAATAATCTAGAGTGTTTTGAGCAGCCCGGGCTGCTCCATCATGTATCTAGTGTATATCTGCCTTGTATATGGAGGGGATAGCCATGTAGTAAGTTGGAAAGGCATGTGATAAACCATGTGACTGCTTGATAAATAATCTTATGAGATGCCAGTGCGATTGTTGATGTCACATCATAATTTGATATGACACGGCATACTATGTACTACTATGATGGATGTGTCATGAAATTATGTAAAAAAATTAACTTTATAACTGTAATACGGAACTTTAATAACTTTATTAACTGTAATACCGAATTTGGCGGGGGGAAATGGGGGGGGGTGCTGGGAGAAAGACGTGAAAATGAAATTTCAAAATTGTTCCAAAAGGACAAGTGACAGATTTTATTATAAACTTGTGTAGCTCTAGAGTTTAAAGAGCCTGTGTTCAGCGCTGTACAAATAGATAACAAAGTGAGCATTCCCTGTCCTGAAAAGCTCATGGTATCAGTCAAAGACAAAAGAGAACAGCCAGGGGAACAGAAGGTCACAGTGAGAAGGCATTGAGAAGATCCGGGCTCTGATGATTAGCAGAGGTCATAGCCAAGCAGCTGCTGAAGAAGAACAATGAGGTGTCTGTAGAGTAAGAAAGCTCTGTGGCCCTGATAAAGGGGCCTGTAAATGAGTTGGCCGCCCCCAGGCACCCTCTTATGGGCAGGGTGCCTCTGCCCTGTGTTCTTCTTTATCCTCCCTCTTCCAGGTCCTTTTAACCAGACACCACATGCTTGCTCATCCAATAGGCGCCCTTGTTGGGTCTGGGTTTATTAATGTAAGAATGGCCCATACTGGGTCAGACCAATGGTGCATCTAGCCCAGTGTCCTGTCCAACAGTGGCTGGTGCCAGATGCTTCAGAAGGAATGACTAGAATAGGGCAATTATTGAGTGATCCATCCCCTGTTGTTCACTCCCAACTTCTGGCAGTTAGAGGCTTAGGACACCCAGAGCATGGTGTTGTGTCCCTGACCATCTTGGCTAATAGTCATGGATGTACCTGTTCTCCAGGAGCTGATCTAGTTCTTTTTTGAACTCAGTTAGACTTCTGGCCTTCACAACATCCCCTGGCAATGAGTTCTACGGGTTGACTGTGCGTTGTGTGAGGAAGTACTTCCTTATGTTTGTTTTAAACCTGCTGCCTATTAATTTAATTGGGTGACCCCGAGTTCTTGTGTTATGGGAAGGGGTAAATAAAACTTCCCTCTTCACTTTCTCCACACCAGTCATGATTTTATAGACCTCCGTCATATTCCCCCTTAGTCGTCTCTTTTCCAAGCTGAAAAGTCCCAGTCTTATTCATTTCTCCTCATATGGAAGCTGTTCCATCCCCTTCTTCAGACAAATTAACTATGGAGCAAAACTCCAAGTCCCAAGAGTCTGTTCCAGGGCCTGGCTCTGACCCCAGAGCCTGAGTGAGTGAGAGGGTTCCTCCACAGGCTCCATTTAGCACTTCGTAGGAGGTAACCCGCTCTGGGGTTTGGCTGGCAGGTGCCCTGCTCAGAGCTGACTTTCCCTGCAAGAAAAGCTTCAGCTCTCTTATAAGGAACCCCAGCTGCGTCCGGTTCCCTCCCCACGCCTGGTGTCTCTGATTGGCTCATTTAATAAACCTGCTCCAGGCGTCAAGTCTCCCGCAGGCAGCTCCCTCTCATGCCCTTTGCTCTCTCCCAAGGTCCCTGGGTAATCCCTCCACATAATGAGTGAGCAGTTACATTCTTTCTTCTTTTCCTCCTCCTACAGGAAATTCAAGGCAGCGCAAGCCCAGCGATCATCTCACCAATGCCATGTGTGCTCAGTAAAGTGCGAGATCCCCTGGGAGACTTGTATCAACATGTTCAGCGAAAAAAGCAGCACCTCTTTGTCCCAGAAACCTAGCCAGAGAAAGACCAGGCCCCAGGGGCTCCCATCCCCTGCTCTCTGCTGCGCCTGCGGACTTTGCATCATGCTTGCCGGGATCAACATCACCCTGGTGGGAGCGTTCGCTTTTGGGACTTTCCTCCCTGTGAACAACCCCCCTATCATCATTGGACCCATCCTGCTGGTGGTTGCTTTCACGTTTTTCGGGGCCTGCTGCATCTGTAGCCGGAGACCACCTGCCCATGGGTCGAGAAAATCCAAGCCAGGTTCCAACATCGGGCTCATCAAACCCGGCAACACGACCTTCGAGATAGAAACCAGCGAGCACACGGTTCAGGACACCACCGCTGTGCAGTTGAGCCCAACCAACTCGCCTGTTTCCTCCAGAAAGTCCACGCCCGTCCATGAGAACTCCAAGACCTGCAAACTCTTCACAATGGATGGCAACGGGCCGGCGGCAAAATACACAGCAGGAGGGGAGTCAATTCAGCTGAACTTGCCCAGAGAGCTTATGACATCCTAAGTCAAGTCAGAGTGGTTATTAGCAGCCAGGTGGGCACCACAGTTGGGCATGCCATGATCAGATGGATACAGCCGTTAGGAAGCAGCAAGCCTATGAAATCCTTTTGTGTGGCCAACTGATATGCTGACATCTTAAAAACCAGTTAAGAAAGGAAAGGGATGACATGGTAATTGGAAACGGTGGTGAGAAATTCCAGCTTTTTTCTGGAATGGGCGCATTAATTAATGTGATTAGAAACAATGTTGTAACGAGGAAACGATGTGGCCCAGCTACTGGGAAATTAGAGATCTTCTTTTGGAATTAATTCATTTCTTTAGTGCAACTTTTAAAAAAAAGTAAAGTCATGATTAGAATTCAGTGCCACAGAGTGCTAACAAATTACAGGTCTCTCTTTTTGGAAGGGATGCAGTTATTTAATGTAATAAAAATGACCAGTGCAGTAATTAGATATTGATACCACCTAGTTGCTGGGAAATTACAGATCTTTGAGACGAGGCTTTTGGGGGTTTGAGGAAGAATAAATTTACTTTAATGCAATTAAAGTGCAACACAAAAATGTAACTTCCACTTTTTATCCTGTCTCAACCTTTCCTTTCTTTTTTGACTTCCACTCTAACTCTAGCAGCCAGCAGATGTCAAGTGTAGCGGGTAGCGTCAGCCGTCTTTCCTCCTGCATAATTTAGATTCTGCTCTGAGTCCTGCTGTCTAACACGCCACATTGCTTGAAAGGTCAGCTGTGCTTCAGTATTTAGAGGCTGCAGGTGATTGGTTTAGCCAGGCCTTGCGATGGGTGGAGAGTATCAGAAGGGGAAACCCATAGACCTACTGGAAAAGGAATTGGAGTCATGTGGAAAGAGGTTCCACTGAGCAACAGAAATGGAGCGAGATAAGATGATGCACGTGAACCCCCTTTGAGGGGAACTTTGGACCTGGATTGGACATGTCTACTTAGAGTCAGCGTTTATTCGGGAATGAAAATAACCATAATGTCGTTATTGTTAAAGCTGGTGGGGAATTTTTCAGTGCATTGGTTTCAGTGAAAATTTCTTAAGGAAGGTTTCTCAGGTCCAGGATGGAATTTCTGGTGAGGGAGAGACCAGAATAGCCCTCACCTGGGATGTTGGGGAACCAAGTGCAAGTCCCTGATTTGGAGCAGGGATTCGACACTGCATTTCCCACCTCCCAGGCAGGTGCCCTGACCACCAGGTTACTGGTTATTCCATGGGCTCTGTCTGGCTTGTGGTTTCTCCAGCCAGCCCTACTTGCCAGAAGACAGGCCAACTGATCTAGAAGATGACCAAAGGGATCTGCATCTCCTCTCTTTGAATGACTGTAAATCCCACTGACATTGATATGAGCTGTGTGTGTACAGTAAGAGGAGAATATGTTCCCTTAATAAGGGCACCATGGTTCCCTGTGTTGTAAGGCATTGGGAGGGTGGAAGGGATATTTGCTGGAGAGGACCCTGAATCTATGGAAGGGAGGAAGTGGTGTCCATGCTGCCTGCTGCTGTGTTTGAAAGGTTTCCATCTGACTCTGGATGCTCAGGACTTCCTGGATTTGGGAATAGGATGGATCTTGTAGCAGGTAGAAAAACATTGCTGGGGAGCAGCTGCTGAATGCAGCCTGCTTCCTTCTGACACACAATTCAATGGAAGGTAATGCCACGGTGAGCAGCATTAATCTGGGCTCCTTGCACTCCACTTTTCTTGGAGGTGAGCAGAGCACGGTGCAGCAGAGGATGACAGAGCTGTACTCTAGAAATGAAGGGTCTGCAGGATGTTTTAGAGGTGGGGGTTGTAGCTCCTTTTGCTCACTGACAGTATTGCCAACCCAAAATGTTCAAAAATCAGGAGTCACATCTGCTCCAAATCACGAGAGTGGCTCAGACAGCATGAGATTATTTTAACAAATAATTAATGTTGGATTCTGTTTAATCACCTTCTGGGCTTTAAGCCTTTGAGAGACATGTTCTCAAGTTTTTTTTTTTTTTTTTGCCATAACCAAGAGAAAGAGACAGACTTTTTTTTTTAAAAAGAAAGCTGAGATTCTCACATATTCACATGACTCCAGGAGCTGGGACTTTCAGAAAAACATCAAATAGTATGAGACAGATATTACTATCTTGAGAGTTGACAACATTGCATTAATGTCCAGGTTCCATGGGATTTTGAGCTTGCCAGATCTCCCTCCTAAGGGAAGCATTTCATGTAATCTCTGAGAGTTTTCTAAGACCTCCTTTCTCAGTGAGGGATAGTGATGTGTCTTGTCTTTTGCTCTTTACACAACATACTTAATATGGAAAGACACAGGCCAAATAACTGCATTTACTATGTTAGAGTGAGTCAGGAAACGGGTTTTTCCATGAACATTTTCAAGTTTTCAAAAAAAAAATTCTGTCCTGAAATGGGACAAAAAGTAAAAATCTCAGCCATTTTCACAATCTGAACCCTTCCCACCCCCCAACAACTGGTTGGATCAATCAAAATATTTCATTTAGATTGTGATCATTTTTATACTTCCAAAATAATAATAATTAGCTTAAAATTTGATACAAAAAGTCATTTTGAATGGGAAAACCGGAATCGTTTTTCTTTAGGAAATGCCGAAATGAAAGCTTGCAACAATTTCAAACCTTTATTTAAAAAAAATCAAGTTGAAAAATTTGTCAAAACCAACCACTGCCCATGAAAATTTTAAATTTTGATGCATCGGCATTTTCCTATGGAAAAAACGTTCCCTGAAAAATTCACAGCCAGCTCCACTGAACATAAGAACGGCCATACGGGGTCAGACCAAGGGTCCATCTAGCTCAGCGTCCTGTCTCCCGACAGTGGCCAATGCCAGGTGCCCCAGAGGGAGTGAACAGAACAGGGAATCACCAAGTGATCCAACGTATATAACATGTCAGGCCTAGCCACATACCTATGCTGTGGCAGAGGTCTGGTAGCTTCAGAAATATGGAAGACAATGAGGGCTCAATAATTACTTAAAGGACCACTATCCTGTTCCTACTCTATTAGTATCATAGAAATGTAGGGCTAGAAGGGACCTCAAAGGTCATCGAGTCCAGCGCTCAGGCATGGACCTGGGGCTTTAAGATCAGTGGCCTTGGAGGAGCATTTGCTGCTGTAGTTTTAATTGAGGAGCAAATCTAGCATTATGGCATCTGCACATTTATGGGACTATCACAGAGGCCAGAGCTTTTCCAACACCACCCCTGCACCCCCTTCCCTTTTATTTCCTCTGTTTCTCTTTAAGCTCATTGTTACATTCTCCTGCCTTCTCAATCTAGTTTCTCTTCTCCGGGACCTTATTTTGAAACGTGTCGCGTTGCTCCAAAGAGGGAAGAACCCATATGTCCATCACTTAGATGATTGAAGTCTTCATCTCCCATGTTGGCCCCGCAAAGCCAGCTTCATTTGCTGCGTGTCAGACCATCCCATCCTCAAATTATTTCTGGCTCTCCCTGCAGAGCCTCACTTTCGGCCTGTTACATGGCTAGCAACCCAGCTGCAATTTGCACCCTCCTTTGTCCTCCTCTGGTTGCATCAATTACTGGTGGCTTTCCTGGTGTTTTATTGTGCAGTCATGCCAATCCCCAGTGCCACTAAAATATGGGTGCTATTCAGTGCTGTTAATTCAGCTAAGAGAGGATTTTCAGGTCACAGGTGGAGCTGAATCCATTTCCCTTTGTACACCTAGGCAAAGGAAGCTGTGCCAGTGGTCCCCCCGGGACACGGTCCTGCTCAGAACAGCAAGCCAAGAAAACCAAGGTGACAAGAAATGTACCATGCTGTGCCATGCAGCCAGCTATTAGCGCTGCAAACTAGCTCTTCCAGATGACGGGGCCGTGCCGAGGGGCCGCCGGTCCCCCAATGTTGTGCACAGCACACACCAGTAGGGGGCAGCGCAAGTTGCAGCCATGGGATTCCAAGAGGGCTGCCTACGTTGCATTTCGCAAGCCAGCAGCCAGCAGGGAAGCCGTTTTCAACAGGTGCCCGTCCAGCCTCATCCAAAGCCCATCGTGCTCAATGCAAGGCCCCCTCCACACACGTCAATGGATCAGGCTTTTCATGAGCAGGAGGTAGAGTAAGGAGGGAAGGGGAGAGAGAGCAAAGGGGAAGAGAGCGCCCTCTACTGGTGAAATTGACTGTAACCGCTGCATGTGAGTTACAGGTGCCATGTAGTGGTTCCACTTACAGCCCATGCTGCGATCGTGGGGAGGAACATGCACGTGTCCCACGCACCCCCTCAGAGCTGCCGCTGAGTACCCCAGCACAGCGTGTTGCTGTCAGGGTTGGAATGTGTCAGTCGGATTCCTTAGTCTGTGCTAACTCCCATGGGATCTGCAGTCCCGCCACCCCTATTCTCCTGGGCATTGGTTTGGTTGGCCTGGGCTGGGGAACGCCAGCCTTCGAAGTGTTAAGGTGAGCACAGTGCACTTTTCTCTCGTAAAACCGATCAGCCCTGGGAACAGACCCATTTGTGTTTTTCCTGCCATCGCTCTTTTCTCTAGAGGGGACGGGCAGCAGCCTAGGTGGGTCCCTCACTTCACGGGATTTTCAGAGGAAGTCAGCACCTATGTAACTTCAAGAGTTGTTAGGCAGAAGAGAAAGGAAGTATTTGGGGCCCGATTGAAAGCACACTGAAGCCACTGGAAAGACTCCCGTGGAGTTAATGAGTGTTGAATCGGGACCTTGGTGAACATTGATTTGGAGGTCTTTCTAAGAGCAGGGATGAGATTGGAGGGAGCCACTTCCTATCATTTCTTGTTCATTGGATTATTAATAGGCATGTGCCAATTGTCATGAATGGACCCCAGCACTTTACAGAACAAAGAATAAAACACAGTCCTGGTCCCAAAGAGTTTTGACTAGGATTTTCAGCCAATGACAGTTGGGCGTCATTCAGCGGTAGGCGTGAACTGAAGAACTGGATGTCAACCATATCAAGGCATAATTCCATTGCAGTTTAATTTAGACCGTACTGACTCTTGGCAGATTACTCCTCCCCCTGCAGCAATTAGCTGCATGCGGAATTCAAAATAGATCCGTTTTCCATGTGAATGGATTAACTAAGCAAGATTACAGCAGGGCTGACGGAAGGAGACAAAGCAAACAGATTAGCAGGTGCAAAGCATGGAACTTTCTTTATCTGGTGTCAAGCACGGACAGGCCCATCCAGTCACCATCATAAGGTTGGTAGGGCATGATACATGGGGTGGGTGCTGATAGCAGTGGAAACGGGGACAAATTCATAGGCCTCTGATAGAGACCCAAGGGAGGCCATTGAGTCAATAGAAGCCACATGAGTTTCAATAGCTTTGGATATACAGAAAAGCCTAGCGTGCTGGAAATACTATGCTGCTTTCGTTTAGCCTGGCCACTGACTTAGCACTTGGACTGCAGTTGGCTCTGGAATAATTCCAACACCAGGGTCCGCATAACTACCGTCCAACAATAGTCTTGCTATAGCAACTGCCCTTATAGCAGGCTGTTGCAGATGGGAAGGGATGGTCCAGAGGTCAGGACCCTAATGTGGCACTTGGAAGACCTGGGCTCAATTTCCTGCTCTGCCACAGACTTCCTGTGTGACCTTGGGCAAGTCATGTAGCTTGTCTGTGTCTCAGTTCCCCATCTGTACAGTAAGGACGATAGATCTTTCCCAAAGCACAGGGGTGTGTAAGGACAAATACATTAAAGATGGAAAGGTGCTCAGCTGCTACAGGGATGGGGGCCAGATAAAGCACCCAAGATAGAAAGCTGGGTGGATCCAAACACTCCTGAGCTCTGGGAATGTTTGAATCTGCATGTGGCTTTGTGGCTCAGGCCTAGCGCCATATGATATATTTTGGAGTTAACGTCCTTGGTAAGATCTCAGACATCCAGTTGATTGTATTTAATATCTCTACAGCAAATTCCCCTTTGGCACATGAGATCTGATAGTCTGGGCTAAAAATTTCCATCAGTTTTGGTTGCAGTTCTGTTGATACATTTAATAAGGCAAAATATCCATCTGCAATTGATTGGATCCCAAACACCAAGCTACCAAGTCTTCTTGGAACATCACCCCATGGCCTAAATGTATTTCATGGGGTTGTCTTGTTGTTCAGATCAACGCAGTTATTGGGATTGTTTGCCCCAGATACTTGGGGCAGACAAATTACAATGTCAACCAGTATATTATACTTCTCCCTCTTCCCGTTTTCAAAAAATGAATAATCTCATTGGAGGGTGTATTTCGGATCAAGATCAGCGTTGTGAAATGTATCATACAAGGTGTCACGGGCAATAAAGTGGAAGCCGGTTAGGGCCTGCTACTAATCCCATAGAAGCGAGTGGCAAAACTCTCATGGACGTCAATAGGAGCATGAGCAGCTTAGTGTTTTCTTATTTGTCCATATTGCGGTAGTGCCTAGAAGCCAAGAATCAGGGTCCCATTGTGCTCGGAGCTGTACACACATGTAATGCAGAGATGGTCCCTGCCCCATGGTAAAGTTAACTTTACAATCTAGGTACAAGACAAAAGGCAAATGCAACAAACAGCATGGGGAGGGGGACAAGGGAACAGTGAGACAATGGTGTCCCTAGTCTCTGTTTGCCAGAAGCTGGGAATGGGTGACAGGAGATGGATCACCTGGTGATTACCTGTTCTGTTCATTCCCTCTGGGGCACCTGGCCCTGGCCACTGGCGGAAAACATTGGGTTTGATGGACCGTTGGTCTGTCCCAATATAGCCGTTCTTATGTTATGTTCTAATGGTACCTTCATGCTGAGGGCCCATATGTTTCTGACCCAATGACCTGTCGTTATCTAGCTGCTGCACTCTGTAGTGAGCTGTGACATTGTTTGTGTAGACATGTTGTTTGTGGGGTTGGGGTAGAGGGAGGGACATCGCTGCTATGTTCTTCTGAAGCATTTAATGTCCTGCTTATCTGCTGTCCACGTCCATCTGTCTGCCTCCGTGATGGGCTGTGAATAAATCATTTGTAAATCTGAGCATCCTTCTTGCACTGCAGAAGACAAGGAGATTTTTTGTGTGATTCCAGATGGACTTGCTGATGTGAAGGTTGATTTTTTTTTTATTATTTATATGTACGTGAAATGTGGAATCTGGAAAAGAGAGGCACATTAAAATATGGATGATTGCTCTTTTCTCCTTTTGGAGGAGTCTGCCATTTCCGTCCTTTTCCTCCCATGCAGCAAGTTCTTCGTCAATCTTTTATAGTACCACGAGGATTGACGGCGTCTCTTCCACTAGATCAGTACCTTTTTCTCTGTGTGCTCTGCAATGGACTTGCTGATGTGAAGGTTGATTGCAATGTTCTTGTTCATTTCCTATCGGGTAATTAACAGTTGTGCAGGAACAAACTTCCATAAGAGATCAGATGTGTCCAAATCTTCCTTCTTTTGAAACCATTGCATGATGCTCCCGGTTAAACAACTGTTTTCCCCAAACAACCATGTGCCAAGGCTCCCAATGCAGATGGAGTCAAGTACTGAACCCAAGTGCTGGAAGCAATTGATTTGCAAGGAGAGGGTGAATCACAGAATCATAGAAATATAGGTCTGGAAGGGATCTCAAGAGGTTTTTTAGTCCGTCCCCCCATAGTGAGGTAGGATTAAGTATACCTAGACCATCCCTGCCTGATGTTTGTCCAACTTGTTAAAAAAAACATCAATAATGGGGATTTCACAACCTCCCTAGGTAACCTGTTCCAGTGCTTACCGACCCTTATAGTTAGAACGCTTTTCCTAATATCTAACCTCAGACTCCTTTCTGAAGATGTTCTCTGCTTTCTGTCAATATCTCTTTCGTCCTGTGAGGGGCTGTGATGACGAGAGCAAGAGAGATATCTGGAAAATAAATTCAAGACCCCAGGTGAGTTCATGGTTAACACCCGTGAGCCACTGGGTCCTGTGCAGGAGTTATGGCTGGGCCTTGTTCCCGTTGTTGACTCTAGGTGTGTATGTTACTGAACAAATTCTGCCCTAAGTCATACTGCACAACTCCACTGAGATCAACGGGGCTGCATACAGTGTCCTCCTGAGGGGCTGTCAACCCATGGTGTAAGGTGATATTCTATCCATCCTCTGGAAATATTGGGGCTCTCTTCCGAGGGTCAACAGAGTCTAGTGGTTTGAGCATGGGACAGGGCATCATGAACTCCTGAGTTCTAATCCCAGCTCTGACAAGGAGTCACCCTGTGGCCTCTTTCCACTCACAGCACAGCTCCCTGCCTCAGTTTCCCCACACATCAAATGGAAATAATCATAATTTCCTTACCTCCCTGGGGTGATGCGAAATGCAGTTAGTTAATATTTGTGTAGCCCTTTGAAGATGTAAAGTGCTGTATAATTGCGCTTAGTGTATTATTATTAATCCTTTGGGGAAGACAGGAATAGGCTGTACGGGGCATACATATGTGGCTGGGTGTTTACCCATGGAACGTGTCTGTATACAGCACTGTGTATGGGCTTTGTGCCTTCTGATTAAAGGAAATAATTTTATACCACACATAATTAACCCGTGGGCCTTATTGCCACAGGGTGCCATGGACTCTAAAAGCTCTTAATGGGATTCAAAGCATCAGCAATTTATATGGACCTTGAGAAAATCCACAGCTACCTACATATGTGAATGTGGCATGTGATATTTGTGAGGGTGAGCATGCAGATTAACAACGGGGCGGAGATGCGTGCGCGCACATAGGTGAAGGGTATGCTGTCTTCGTGTGTGAATAGACTATATTTATGAGGATACGTGTGATGTGTGTGTGTACATGTGAATGCACTGCTTGGGAGGGTGGTATCTCCTTTCTGCTAAGCTCCTTCTGTGCTGAGCTCAACACAGGCATCTGGGGAAGGGTGGGGGAGAGATCCAGGGAAGAATAGAGAGATTTGGGGGTTGAAAACTTGCCTAGTTGAGGAAATTCTTCACCAGGCACAACCAAAGGATTTTGGCTGGGAGGAAATGTCACCTTCCTAGGCATGAAGGAGCTGTGAAATGAGCTCCATGTGTAAAATCCCAACCTGCTTAATGCAAAGGGATTTTTTTAAGTTGCCCAAGGAAACTTTCTGGGAAGATTTTACTTATAAAAGCAGGTGAGAAGAACAGCTTTAAGATTACGGAGCAGCTTCCGGTGCCCTGCCAGGCCCTTCAGCTCACAGCTATTTCACCCTCTCTTCTCCAAATGGCAGCTGCCTTTAGAAACACTAACTTAGTGCAGCCTTTCTCCAGGTGAGTCTCTCTCCATGCGGGAAAATAAAATAGAAATATTAAAATAAGTAAATAAATATATTCCATTTAACCTGATTGTTCAGAAGAGCTGCTGCTTCGGCATTATTCCCTTATGCTGGTATGTACTGAAAGTCAAGAGAATAGAAATAAATAAGGAACTTGTATATTTGGTTCCCGAAACCCCAGTATTTATTATTCATTACAAATAACACTTGGCTATTCTACAGTGCTTTTCATCTAGGGAGCTCTAAGTCTCACTACACCTCTGTTGGAGAGATTCAGGCTATCTAGAGTAGGGATCCACTTCATATGAATAAATATTAATAGTAATAATCCATTGCTGAAATGCAGCTGTCTTGGGGGAGGAATGCAGCAGCTGTTCAATGAGATGCAGCAATGTTGCCCAACAATGGAGGTCATGATGTAAAGAAGCCGAGGGGAATTCAACTGAAATTGCAGAGTGATTCGTAGGGCAGCAGCGTTTAGTTTTTACCCAGATTGGAATTGAGTCAGGACATGGGGGTTAACATCCTTGGTCAAGATCTTCAATGAGAGGAGCCTAAATCCTGATTAGGCACTTCAGTAAGTGACCTAATTTCCAAAAGCACCCAGCAAATCTCACTGATTTTCTCTCTCTTCAAAATTCTTGGCCTGTGGTATTTGTGTAAACACCCAATGCCTGAAGAAAAGATTCTTTTGGCTTTCAAAGCAGATGTATCCTACGCTCTTTGGTCCAATAGAAGGTGTTGAGTTATCTCCATTGTTTGTCTTTTCTTGAGACCTAACATGGACCAAAATATGATCTGGGCACTTTGGCTTGTGGTCTTACAAGGTGCTGCTGAGTGTTAAGACCAGAGGTAAAGATCTGGAGAGAGGATGCCATTTGCAGTGTGCCCTACAAACTCCAGGAACTATGAAACATTCTTGAGTGCCCTCTACTGCCACCGTGTCTATTAACTACTGCCATACAGAGAGAGACAGAGCACGCTTCTGTGACACTGAGCATTCCGGCCCTGACCCAGCAAAGCACTTAAACCCGTTTCACTTTAGATACCACATTTTGAAAATATTATCTCCGACCCTTACCAAAACCACCGTGCAATATTTCCTGCCCACAGCTCAATGTGGTCCCAAAGGCAATGGGCTTGATTCCATTTTGACTTTACATCAAGGGGGAAAGAAACATTTCCATGATTAAAACCATCGCTTCGTTATTTTGATTCTCATCAGCGGCCAGCTCCCATCCCAGAACTGCAGCATGTGCTGATGTGGCACCTGGGTGTCAAGATCCCGACCAGGGCAGTGAGGACCAAGGGTCGGAGCAGGGGCAAACCTGAGGCCAGGAGGAGCAGAGGAGTTCGTAGTCGGGTTCCAGGCCAGGGTCGATACCAAAGATCAGAGTCTAAGTTAGGTTTCAAGGGTCCGAGTCAGGAGGCGAAGTCTGGATCAAGCCAAGGTCCAAGCCAGGAATTCAGGAGCAAGAAGCAGGAACTGTCATGGCAACTCTAGGAGATCCACACTATTTCCTGGACACTTCCTGAAGTGGCCTTTGGGTTTATATAGTGCAGAGAGCCAATCAGGAGCCACGAGGCTGCCATCTGTCAAAACCTTGAGGTGGGACTTCCCATGGCCTATGTCCAGACCAGTGTCCAGGAAGTGGAGCGCAAACTGGTTACAGCTGCTGCTGGGTGGCACTCTGGAGATGTCCGCAGCCTGGTAGCTCTGCAGGCCTGGGTCTTAGACCTGTGGGGCCTTACACCTGGAAGCTGTTGTTGTTCAGAGAGTCTCATTCACAGCTGATCTGGTCTAGTTGCTCAGATGTCACCATCTTCCTTAGCTTGAAGGGAAGCAGTCAGAGAAACGTTTTGTAACACACGATCCACCAAAGAGGCCCTTTGCGTCTTATTCCAAAGGGAGTTTTACTTGAGGAAAGACTTCTGGATTTGGTCCCTGAGTGAGGACACACGTTTGAAATGATATGATTGTTTAACCTGAGCGTGTACATTCAAATAGCTAGTGCAGCTCCATACAAGTTGTGGTCTTGATCAATAGCGATCATCCCTCTTTCAGGGCAACAGCCATGTGGGAGCACCTGTTCCAATCCCACCCATCTCGGTATTATTATTTGCATTGCAATATCATCTAAAAGGTGCAGCTGATGTCAGGGCCCCCTCTTTTGGATACATAGGAAGAGCCAGCTCCTGGCCCAGAGATTTTACAAGCTAAACAGACAAGGGGTGGGAGAAAATAATTAGTATCTCCCAATGTCCCACTGGGGAACTGAAGGATGAGACAAACAAAGTGACTTGCCAAGCTGGGGCAGAGCTAGGAAATGACCTCCCAGGTCCTAATTGACAACCTGAACTACAACAAGTCCATCATTCTTGTCCTTCTCTCATGGTTCCACCTGAGCTTTTATGATAAGGTTCATAGGATGTCCTCAGAACCATCTCAGTCCAGCCAATAAAGCTGGTGGGAAAAATTCCATGCTTTGAAAATGAAAGAAGGTACATTTTTGACACTTTTTTAATCAGCTCCACTTGTCAGCCAGCCACATTGGATCCAGGCTGGTTCCCCCCTGCCCTGTTTTCCAACTGAGATGTCCCACTCGAAAGTGTCTCATCACCCTAGTTCATGAGCAACTTCATTGGACTCCCTCTGCTTGGGATATGCCAGAGCTCCTCATGTCACCCGGAGATGGTGATGGAGCGGTGTCGCCTCTGAAAGGGAGTCTAGGGGCTTTTCTATTTAAAGGGAAGTCACTGCAGCATGGGAGAGGTAGCTTCCACCCGAATCGTTGAAGAACAAAACCATTTATCTGTCTGCCTCTCTAATGGGATAGCACTATCCCTTGAAGAGCAACGTAGGTGGGGAACCCTCTCCAGGTATAAAATCAGAGACTTAAGGGCAGGCA